GGGGAATTCTGGGAGTTGAAGTCCATCCGTCTTAAAGTTGCCAAGGTTGAGGAACCCTGATTTAGATGGTATGATGGGGAGGAGAGGAAGAAAGAGGAAGAAGATGAGACTGAAAACAGTTATTTCCATTTACAGTTTCATTGTTATTTTCATTGCTCTTTCATTGTGATTTCTCATGCCCAGTGAAGGAATTCATAGTATCTTCTTGAAAATTTCACCCTTCTTAAAAAACCATGATAGTATCACAGCTGGTTATATGCACGGATAGCTGTGTGTATATTCCCTTTAATAAAAATATAGGAATGGACACAGTGGAAATTCCCTAGGAAGGAAAAGGTAGAACAAGCCATTTTCACATCCAATAAATTTACCTAATCAAAGTATCTTTTAAAAAAGATTGGGTATAACCATGTCAAAGTTAAAAACTGTAGCCATGTTTAACTCTCCCATTAAAGGTATATGAGTTTTTATTTAACATATTTTGGGGATTTTGTCCAAAGATTCTTGATATAATATTCTAATTATTTTAAACCATTGTATTTATTTTCCAAAACCATTCTCTCTTACCTGGTTATACATCATCTGGTTTTCATTCCCATAATCAAAATATCGGAACAATCCTGTATCTTGTATCTATCAAAAACATCAGACAAAGCATTAGATATTATATATGTCACCACTTCTGTGATTATGATCACAGCAAATTCAAAGAATGGGAACTAAACAGGACAAAACAAATCAGTTGGGAGTGAGAGAAAGACAGTAATATATATTTTAATATCAGGGATGGGATCAAAAGAATTGCTATTCCTCACTTGTGATCTAAGAAACATCATGGAAGAAGGGAAATGTGCTTCATGTAAAACAATAAAATGGTTTGTTGAAATCAAGAGAAGCTGTTGAGCAGTTTAAGGACTATCTCCATCTTTTTATTTTTATATATATATAAATAAATAATAAATATACATCTAGAAGAATAAGAGATTGGATTAGGCAGCCTAGACAATCCTGGAAATTACTGCTATCCGCATCAGAGTAAATGTCAAGTCTCAGGAGACCTTAATGGAAACTGTTAAATGGCATACAATTTAACTGAACTCATTAAAGACATTCTACCTGTTTCCAGTGTAAGATGTTTTTAACTGATGTTGCATCTGGAAAGTAAGTCACGTATACATCCATTCGGCTCTGTAGAGATTTGAAAAGTCAGTGGATTTAAAAAAAAAAAAACTTAAAGGAAACATTTACTTAAAAGCAAAACAATTCTATGCTCTTCTATGTGTTAAATGTTCACATCTGAGTAATGTAAGGCAGCATCACTGATTACAATACATTTTTCTTGCATTTGCTCATTTTTGAAAGAAGAAGTAAAATCACACTTTTAGCAGAGCAAAGCAATAGGTGTTGCTGTCACCTGAGAAATCACTACAGGTAATCCTCGGATTATGATAACAATTGGGACCGGGAACTCCATCGCTAAGCAATGTGATCATAAAGCATGATGTCACATGACTACATCGCTTAGTGACAGCAATTCTGGCAGTCCTGGTTGCCATAATTAAACGAGGACCACGAGGGTCATTAAGCAAGGACCACATGTGATTCCGATTTCCAACTTCCTGCTGCTTCCCCACTCACTTTGCTTGCAGGAAACTGGCAGGGAACATTGGAAATCATGATCACATGATTGCAGGGGTGGCCAGAACTCCAAGAAGGTACTGTAAGTCCTGCTCATTCAGTGCCATTGTAACTTTGAATGGCGGCTGAACAAATGGTCATAACTCAAGGAGTACCTGTATTAGGAATACTGGAGAAAGGTAAGACATAGGCGGATTTTTTTTTTATTAAATAGATTAAGTAACTCTTTCAGTCACTGTTCAGCTTAAAACAACATACTGTATGACAAAATCCAGACTTGCAACTGTAACATATTTAAATATAACTAAAAGAATGCAGCTGGTTTCAACATTTAGAGACTCTGCTCACCCAATTATGTTTTCTAGTCAAACTAATTGACAATTAGCAGACTCAAATCAACTTCCATTATGCTCATGCAATACAGTGAGCTGGCATTTAAAGGCAGGAGATCCTTCCATTTTATCAAATGTTTATCTGGTTTTGATCTCTCTCTCTCTCTCTTTTTAACTTCCCGTTTAAATAAGTACATTCTACAAGTAGATACCTTCTCCCTGTAAACATAGATATGAAAAAAAATCTTCTTTTCTAAAATCTTAAATGCTTCTTGGACTTCCAGGGGAGGCATGACAAATTAAACATGTCTCTGAAAGAGCGGAGATGTCGCCCACAGCAAAGACGGAAGAACCAGCGAGTAGACCAGTTCTTCGGAACCCCTCTGGACAAGGAGTGGATGGGAGATTACCCACATGTGCTGTGGACGGCTGCTCCTCTTGAAGGGACCTTAGGACAGCAGTCTCCCATGGGTTTGTGCACTGGGAGACAAAAGGATTAGCCATCGTGCTCCCAACCATGGTGGGGCCTTTTAAAGGACACTAGTTTGCTAACCTCACTTTCTAATCACTTTCAGAAACTGTTTATTTAACGACCCTAAGGCTATTAGAGATCTTTGGAACGACAAGTTTGAAAAGCCGCCTAGTGAGTTTACCTTCCTTCTTGAACAAAAGAAAAATTAACCATAAATTAAAGAACTTAAAGAACTGGAAATAAACAGCAAAGGCTAGATAAGATCTAGATCTAAGAACATTATAAACAAATTAAGGTTTCAGACAAATTTGGAATATTGAAACTGAGATTTTGGAAGTAATTAAACAAAATAAGCAGCTTTTTGTAGGAACTAAATTGCTTTATCTATCATAAGTCATAATAGAGATCTGAGACTTTATGATTTCAGAAATTGGTTGCTAGAGGGGACAAAAGATTCCAGGCAGAAAAGGAAAAGGAAAAAAAAAGTGTAAACTTGCCTTTGGTTTTAGGTTAGTAGGGGGATTTATAATATGACACAAAATGCTATCACATTTGAAATACTTCAAGAGATTTTTGAAGAATGGGGCTAGAAATTAGTAGCTACAATGTCAGCAATGTCAGCAATGATGTCTGCTTCCATGGATAGACTATGTCCAAAAGATGTTAATGAAGGAATGACAGATGTGAAACAAATTTTACCTGATGCAAAAATAGTTGAACCAGAAATATTAGATTAAAAAAAAAAGTGTGAATTACAAGATACAGAAGGCAGCTAAAGTGGAAATATAAATGAAAAGCCAAGAGAATGACCCCAATAAGGACTTTTTACTGGATACACAAAAAAAGTTGGTTAAAGCTTTGAAAATCAAAGTGGAATCCCAAATTATAAACCAAGAGAATGACCTGGATAATGACTTTTTCCTGAATTTACAAAAGAGGTTGGTTAAAGCCTCGAAGAAGCCTTTGGGATGGGAAAAAGAAAATTTGAAGAGAGACCAAATCCTACAACAGCATCTGAATGAATTAAAAATCAAGACTGTCAGAAGTAAAAGGAAGGAATATAAAGTTGACCAACATTACATGTTTCTATAAAGCTCTGGTAACCCTTTACAGACTTTTTGCCCACACCAGGACTGAAAAGTTGATGATTTGTGGATTTGCATATAGATAATGGATGGGTTATGGGAAGAAGAGATATTTGCTTGTAACTATAGGGGATGAAGAGTTATCAAATTTGTTTATACCTGTGATAAAGATCAGAAGTCACTTTTTTATATATTTCTTTTCTTTTTCTATATCTTACTTTTTTTTTCTTTCTTTGCACTTTTTATTCTTTCTATTCTTTCTTCTTTCTTTGAGTTTAATTTGTATTTGCCTTTACTGCTGTAATTAAAATGTTAAAAAAAAAAGTTTAAAAAATATTAAATGCTCCTTAAATGCCCCTGAAATGACGATTTATGCAATGTTCCCAGTACAGGGACAGGTCCTCTGTTACTTGAAAATTATATCTCTCTTATTCATAACCTCCAGAATTGGGTTGCCAAGCAGATGGAGAATTTCTAGCCAGAACTACAGATGAGAAAGATGCTTTGACCAGGAGCGAGGAGCTGCTAAAAGAGTTCTCATTAGCTCTTACAAATTCTACCAACAAGAACTTGCACAAGCATCAACATCTAAGTTACTAGAATGGGAGGAAAACCAGTATAAAATTTGCTTCTGAAAATTAAGAAAAAGGCCTCAGTAAAACATTAACAACATTTATCTATTGCAGCTCAATAGGATAAAAACCCCTCTCTATTCTGGCACATATAAAATCACATTCCCATGGGGTTTGGGAAGCTCACTTTAGAACTATGCGAATCTCAACCAAAGGACCTCTTTGTCTCACACCCAACAGGGAAACTCCTCCAGACTATCCACCAGTTTTGGTGTCTGAAGTAAAAAAGTATATCAATACCCATCAGCTAGGTAAGGGTCCAGGTTGTGATCCACCTTACTTGAAACACTAAGAGCTAGACTGAAATAGTTTCAGCTTTAAAATTAACCCCATTTATTTGTTGCTTTCCAAGGGCCACACACTGTCTGAAAGTTGATATATAGTACATGAGTAAATCAAGAATACAGCATTCTAGAATTCCAGCTGCTGTTTTCATTTACCAGAAATATTTCATTTAGAACTCTGCTAAAAGACTTTATCAGACACATCATGGACTCTGCTGGTTTCTTCATACATGACCGTTTCCTAGCTAAATGCATGCATAGGGAAATGTTTATAAAATGCACAGTACAATCCAATACCATGTTTCCAGTCAGACTTCAGTATTATTGTTATTTTATCTTTGTGCTTCATGGGGCTAGATCACTCTCAAGAACATATAACTGGGGGGGGGGGGGGGCGAGGATTCCCATAGTTATCATGTCTTTGTTCTATAATGTCTCCGTGATGCTTCCTCCAGTGAAGTCAGAAAAAAAGAGAAGAACAATAGTTATTCACCCTAATTTTCCATAGATCTGAGAATCCAGTACAATGCTAAATCCTGGCTGTTGTAAACTGATGTGGTCTTTAACTGAAACATCTCACTTTACAGCCATTTCAGCCAGGAGTTGCAAAGGCTGGGCTAGTTAGCTAAAATAGCACCATACTGTAGTAATGTGAGAAACCGGGAAAGTTAATCCTACTGGAAATTAAGCAGCTTTAAAAGAATGAGGGATTGAGTCAGATTGCAGGGGTTCCAGAATGGTCTATTCTGAGCTTCCCATCTTTCTTTTCACTGTACCCTAAATACTGAAGTTACTTTGGCGATTATATTTTATAGACCAGCTTTATTGATAGAATGAAATCTATGATCTATCTGATTAATGTGAATCCAGATCCATGGATGGATGGGCTCCTCTGTTTGTGGGGCCTAGAGAAATTACTCCTGTTGCCCTTGCTAAAATACTCTCATTTTTTTAAAGGTGTAACATTTGAAAAGGGACGGGGGAGCAAAGAGGTACAAGGAAATATATTTTTTCAGATTGATGTTTCCACTCTTTGAAAGCTTATTTTTTGCCTTGATGATGATACCATTGTGAAATTTAGAGAAACACAACAAATACAACATTCCAAGAAATGTATTTCACAGGAAGACTTACATACCATGTTTAGATTTGTTGCATTGAATCCACCAGAAGTGAACATGAGCTGTGCACATAATTTATGCATAAATGCATTTGTGCATAATTTGTTCATGAAGTCTTTCACAGGCTTGCGGATTAATACAAAGTCTTTGGCATCGAACATTTGCTGTAGAAATAAAAAATCAATTAACTATATCAAATAATGATGATGACAATGATGACTGCTGTTTAAGGCATGCTAAGCTTATCTGATTCCTACTGAGTTTTCAGTCAGCAACATTTGACTTATGCAAGAATTATTCTGACTGTGTTATTGCAGCAGTTCTGCTATTGCAACATGTAATTGCAAACAAAATAGTTTAGTGTGGCGGTTAAAGCCCTGGGAGTAGCAGAGCTGAGCTCCAGCTCTCCTTGAAGCATGAAATCACCCCAGGGTGAGGGCTGGGCTGAGTTACTCTCTCTCAGCCATAGACTGAAAAGCTGAAAAGCATCCTGGAAGAAGGAAGATTTCCTCCCTTCTCTTCCTCCCTCCCTCCCTC